ATAATAATTAAATCAAATTCGTTCGTATTAGTTTCTGTCGAAGAATACAAATGTATTTAAAAAAGTTTCATTATTTCTTTTGTATAACAACTATTTTATATTATAGTAGTCGTTCTCTTTGCTTTACATAATAAAATATGTATACAAAAATCTGAAAAAAGATCATGAGTTTATTGCTAAACATTTTTTGAATAAAAAGAACAGAAATAAACGAAAATAAAAATAATGGAATTATTTTTTATAGTGGATTTTTTTCTGGCTAATAAAAATTTCTAGACCCGGATCCGGACCCGTTGAATTCAGAATTTTCAGACCCGGATCCGGCCGGGTCCGGGTCGGACCCGATGGGCTCTACTGGTGATAGTCCGATGATATGCACGAGATTTTGTTTATGGGATGATTTTCGTAATTCTTCATCAAAAACAGCATCTCTTTAGCGATGAAAAAGGTAGTCACTCCTCAACCACAATTCTGCTCGGGATATACTTATGTTGCACTAGAAGTTACAATGGTGGAATTCATTTTTATTCCACCCTACTCTACATCATTTTACACTTTTTGCGAGAAACTAGATGCTATTTTTAGCGATAACTTTAATTAAAACTCTTAAATCTAAAACAATACAGAAAAAGAAAGCGATTTAATTCAACTAGTATGCACTGAATAAGACAACGAGAAGATTACATTACAAACAAGTTCTAGAATCCATTTCCTACACGCATATTAAGTATCGAAAATATATTAAAAACACATTTGGCTGTAAAATTGTGACAATCAATCATGTTATTTAACTTCGATCTGAGAGTGCATTTCTATTAATTTTACATTCGGAGAGAAAGATTTTAATTATAGTTTAATACGACGCGCACACATGTTATAATTAGACGATTTGCCCATATATAAATAGTCGTTTGTGTCCTCAATGTACAACTGCAAAAACGCAAAACAACTTTAGAACCATGTTATTTTATTCTTGCCTTGTAATTGTCATTGTTGCTGTTGCTGTTGTCACAGGGAGTCATCACGATTATCATCGTCCAGATAAAAAACACCGTTACAAACAAGAAAAACCTGTACGTGTCGTTCCTTTTGGTCAGTACAGCAGTTCGAGTTATCAACTGTGTAACGGTCCAGTTGTGTTTAACAATCAAGATGGGAACACGTTGACTTATGTTCGTGGTGGTGATTCGAAATTCGGCGGTCAAAAACCAGGCATCTTTCTAACACTTGGCTTTGGTCTAGCTAGTGGGAGTACTCGGGGTGAAGTCCATCTGTGGCGACGCTACAACGGTGTTGACCTCCCATACAGTAATGCAATTCAAACGGTTGAAAACGGTAATTCCTACGTCTTGCCGACATTTGGAATATTAGACTACAGTGTTGGCCATCAAGAAACATTTGTCATGAGCACAACAAGGAAAAATGAAGTTGGACTAATTGCTAAACAACCCGTGAATCAGGAACCATTGATACCGAGCATCACTCATCTTGCAATTCGGCTAGATGATGGCACAAAACAAATTCCCTATGCTCAACTCTACAGTACACAATCACAGGGAATTAGCGATTCAAATGCACATGAGATCACGTTCGATGTTGGACAAACCTCGCTACAAGGAATCACTCTGAGCAGTGATGATCTGACAACAATTACATTTAGTGAAACTGGTCTCTACTACGTTCAAGCTGCGGCTCATGTCGGCGGCAGTGGTGCTACGGCATCAGGTAATGTTCATCTGTGGTCAAGATTGAATAACGTGGACATTGCCAACAGTAACACAATACAAACTGTGATCGATGGGAGTAAATCAGTTGTGATTAGTCAAGGTATTATGGTTGTACAAGCTGGAGACACAATGGAGCTGGTCTTCTCATCCACAAGTGATAGTGTTGGGTTAGTCGCCGATTTTCCCAAAGGAGAGCCAGCAAATCCATCAGCAGCTGTATCCATTGGTATGATTGCCAATTCAGAAAACTTGATGAAGACACCTTATACTCAGCTGTCTTCTTCCGTCAATCAATTCGTTGATGATTGTTCAAACGAAGCACAGATCGTTCAATTCGATGTTACAGGTGCAACTATCCAACGTATGATATATGATACCAGTGACAGGTCCCTTGTCTTTGAAGAAAGGGGAACCTATTTCATCATCGCTGCTGTTCAAATTGGAAGTGAAACTGGTAACAATGAAACAGGTAGTTTAGATCTGTGGATGAGACTGAATGGCATCGATATTCCAGATTCAAATGCTCAACAAGCCTTTCCAAATGCCGGTACCGCAGTGTTGCCAAATGCATTAGCTATCGAAGTGAAAGCAGGTGATCGTCTGCAAATTCTTTTCTCATCGACAAATAAGAGATTGGGTCTCATTGGAACAACTGTTGCGGATGAATCGTATGTACCGAGCATTATTTTTACAGCTTTTAAAGCAATGAACACTCGTTCGTAAGAAGTTCTGTTGTATTTTGTGTTATTTAAGTCGGTCCGTGGTGTTTCTAATTCTAAAGATCTTTCTCCAAAATAAAATCGTTTGTAGTTAACGACCTATTCATCTGCACTACTCATCAACTGTTTCGCTTATTTGGTGTAGCTGCCGCGTCAAATACCCTGAAAAACGTGACCTGCGTACAACATGCGTATTAAAAACTATTTTTTTGCTACCGGGCTTCACTGTGCCACATTACGACTCCCGTTAAATTTCATCCCAACGATACGATCCTGATCAACAAAAACTTCGCAAATCAACCGAAAACACTTAAATAAATTCTAATTTTAATATACTTTTATTCGTGACCATCCAAATTTCAAAAAATAGTACTTCCTTTTTCAAGTGTTTCTACATAAGTGATGAGTTGGCTTTCAAATAGCTCGTGCATATCATCGGACTATCACCAGTAGAGCCCATCGGGTCCGACCCCGACCCGGCCGGATCCGGGTCTGAAAATTCTGAATTCAACCGGTCCGGATCCGGGTCGAGAAATATTTATTAGCC